AATGAGTCCAAAACGAAATCATTTTGGGTTGAAAGATTAAAAAATTATAAAGGAAGAAGAAGAAAAGAGTTAATGGTAAAGGACTGAATATTTTGCAGCAAATAACATGTTTGATCCTTTATCTCATTATAGTAATAGTAGATTTTGCAGTATACCTCTTATTCTAAATTTAACAACTAAATTTTTTCCTAAAGTTATCCCACATTCACTTCAATGGAATCATGTTAAAGTTTTAAGATATCGTTCGTTCAAAAAAAAAAAAAAAATTCAGATATCCTATCCTATCTACTAATTGGTCTTCTGATACCATATTTTTGTGGAGTTTGTTGTCTTGTTAATTAGTGAAACTTATATCTACCAAAAATAAAAATAAAAGTTGTGAAACTTACTAAAGCCCATATAACATAACCAGTGTAAATCTATCTCAATTGTTTAGCACCATCAAGGGATAATATATAATATAAAAATAAAACAACTGATTATTTAATTGGCAATAACGTCACAGGTAGAAGATTTTATTAGAGTATCTTGTACAAATTCGGATAAAATATGACAAAAAAATTAAAAGAAAATATTTAAAAAATTTAAATATGCATAATTAATTAAATAAAAATTAAAAATTATATATATAGAAAATGAAAAAAATATCTAAAATTATAAAGAAGATATGCATAATTATTGAAAAATAATAATGTTATCCAAAAAAAAAATTTAATAATTAAGAATGTTCACTAGATGGAAACCCAAAAAAAGGGGAAGAGCCTAAGATACCCAAACACAAGCTCAACTACCTGCTTGATCATATCCAAAATTAAGAAGGGTCCAAGGAAACATTAGAATTGGAATTAGGAATCTAAGGAGGATATTCTTATTGGGGTGATTAACCATTTTATCCCTAATTAAAATAATAATTAATAATTGGTCCTGTTCCAAAACTATACGTCCTTTTATCCCTACTTGATCGTTAGACTGGTCCAACTAATCGATTAGAAGAGCTAAGTAATCTATTAAGTCTCTAATAACTTAGGCCATCAGGGGTGCAATATGCTATGAAGAGCAAGGTGGTGAAGGAAAGCGATGCCTTAGGTTTTGTTTGGAATTTAATTTTAGGACCGAAATGAAAGGAAGAGGATGATTTTATTAATCTCTTTCCTTATTTGTAAGTTTAAAAAAATGAAGAGAAAGAATTGAGAATTTTCACAAAATCTTCTAAAACACTTCTTGTTCTTAAAATTCAAGTTCCCTAAATTTAGGGGTTTGATGGAAAAAAGATTACAAATTACATCTATCATTAGCATTAAAATATGAAAACCACTGAATCATTTTTTAAATGTGACACTATTAAAAAAATTTCAAATACCGAAAGAGTTTATCTATACAAAATATTCTGCTAAAAATAGTGATGCAATTTTAGACAAAAATCATATTTTGTCAAAAACAGAGACAAATTTTTGTTTCGTCGAAACTCAAGACGAAATTAAAGATATAACAAGATTTGATCATAATCACATACAGTAATTTTTTACAGAAATAAAATTCCATCAAAACTCTTGACAAAATCTAAGTTCGGTAGAAACTTTTTTGCCAAAATTTTCGACGAAAAATATTTCCGTCAAAACTGTCAACGGAACACATTTCTATAAAAACATTTCAACGAAAAACATTTATTTCGACAATTTTGAAGGAAAATAATTCTGTCAAAAATTTCAATACAGAAAAATTCCATCAAATTTTTTTACAAAATCTAAATTTCGTCGAAACTTTCGACAGAAATATTTCCATCAAATTTTTGACGAAAAATATTTCCGTTGAAATTTTCAAGGGAACACATTTCCGTCGAAAATTTTAGAAGGAAAATATTTCCGTACAAAATTCCATCCAAATTTTTGACGGAGTCTAAATTTTGTTCAAAGTTTCGACGAAAATATTTTCATCAAAATTTTCAACGGAACACATTTCCATAAAAAAAAATTTGACGGAAAACATTTGCGTACAAAATTTTGACAGAAAACATTTATGTTAGAAATTTTGATGGAATTATTTTTTCAGTCCAAATTTTCAATGGAATTTTTTTTGATCGAAAATACTTTAAGAAATCATTTTTGTCAAAACTTTTGACAGAAACTAAATTCTGTTGAAAATTTTGATAAAATTATGTTTAATTGAAAATTTTGTCGCAAATTTATTTCAATCAAAATTTCGATGGATAAAAATTTTGTTGCCTTTCGACGAAGAAATTTTTCGAAAATGTATTTTTCGTCGTTTCAAATGTAGAAATTTCATCAAAAATATGATTTAATTATTTTTTTTGGTAAAACAAATTTGATTTATTTTAGTAGTGGGAAAAGTACATAAATACTTTTTTTTAAAAAAAAAGATTTTATTTTATTTGTAAAATATAATAATTATATTATTTTTAAAAAGGGATAAAATGGTTAAAATATCTTACTAACTTTCCATTTTTCTTCCTTATCATTGCTTTAACTCTCAAATAAGGGAAATAAATACCTTTTAATTTCTTTCCCCTCCCTCTCCCTTGAAACCCCTTCTTTTCCTTCCTCTCCAAACTCTCAAATAAAACCTTAAGTTCAAGGATGATTGGCGCACGAAACAAACGGGGGAGGAAATGGCTAAAACTATTTCTTATTACCGATTTCTAACATATCCACCTAAGTTTCTAAAGCTCACCACTTCAAGCTTTTGTTCAAGACTTCATGCCCAGACCATTTGTTCAATGCTAATTCGTGCTCGCAGTGCAAACCTCTTCTGGTCTGTGCACATCATTTTCAACACCCATCAGGGCATGTTTGGTAGGGTTGTGCCTGGGTCAGGTCGGGTCAGGTTTTTGTCCGACTCGACCCAACTTGGTTTTTATAGGTCAGGTATTTTGACCCGACCCGCTTTAATTTGATCCAAGTCAGGTCTGACTTGGATTAGATTTTGTTGAACTAGTTCAGAACCAGTTTGGATCTGACCTGACTTGGTTTCTGAAGTGGGTCTGATTTGGTTTCTGAACTGGGTCAAATCTGACCTGACCCGTTTTTTACTTGGTTTTCTCACAAAATTTTGTCAAAATTTTTACGTTGCAAAAGACGAAAATTTCGTCACAAAATTATTTTTTCGTCGAAATTTTTACAAAAATTTTTTTCTATTTAAATTTAGTTTCCCTCGACAGTTTTGACGAAAATGATTTCTTCCATCAAATGTTTTAAACAAAAAAAGGATTTTGTCAAAAGATTTGACGGAATGTCTTTCGCTAAAAATTTCGACGAAATTTTTTTTTTTGTCAAAAAATTTAACGAAATTTTTTTCGTCGAAAACTTTCGCCGAAATTTTAAATCTGTAAAGAATTTTGTTGAATTTTTTTGCCGTCAAAATTTTATGATGACGAAAATATTTCCGTCGAAAACTTTCGCCAAAATTTGAAATCTGTAAAGAATTTTGATGAAATTTTTTGCCGTCAAAATTTTTTGATAACGAATATATTTTCATCGAAAACTTTCGCCGAAATTTGAAATCTGTAAAGAATTTTGATGAAATTTTTTGCTGTCGATATTTTTTGCCGTCAAAATTTTTTGATGACGAAAATGTTTCCGTCGAAAACTTTCGCAAAAATTTGAAATCTGTAAAGAATTTTGATGAAATTTTTTGCCGTCAAAATTTTTTATGACGAAAATATTTCCGTCGAAAACTTTCGCCGAAATTTGGAATCTGTAAATGAAATCTTTTGCCGTCGAAATTTTTTGATGGAAATGTATTTCGTCGAAATTTTCAATGCAAATTGTTTTGAGGAAAATGTTTCATTTGAAACTTTTAACGAAATTTAGATTCTCTAAAGAATTTAGACAAAATATTTTTTCTCTCAAAATTTCTTATCGAAAAATTCTTGTCAAAAAATTTTACGATTTTTTTTTAAAGAAATGTGTTCCTTTGAAAATTTTGATGGATATATTCTTTATCAAAAAACTTGACGAAAATATTTAGTCGAAAATTTTTGATAGAAATGTGTTTCGCTAAAAATTTCGATGAAATTTTTTTTTGTCAAAAAGTTTAACAAAAATATTTCTGTCGAAAACTTTCGCCGAAATTTGAAATCTGTAAAGAATTTTGATGAAATTTTTTCCGTCAAAGAATTTCGATGAAAATGTGTTTCGTCGAAAGTTTTTATGAATATTTTTTTTGTGAAATATTTTGACGAAATTTATATTCCGTAATAAAATTTGACAAAAAAATATTTCGTCAAATTTTTTTACCGATTTGTTTTTAGTCACAAATTTTGATGAAAACATTTTTCGTCAAAAATTTTTGCGGAAATTTTTATGAAAATATTTTCCATAAAAAATTTTGACGTAATTGTTTTACGTTAAAACTTTTCTTTTAATGTAATTGTGATTTTTTTTTCACATAATGGGTATGGGTCAAGTTTTGGGTCAGTGGGTCAATATTAAAACAAGTCAGATCTAAAGCTGACCAAAATAAAAGTGGGTCAGTATTTACACCAGTTCAAAAAATATGGGTATTTATGGGTCGGATCAAGGTCGGATCAAGGGCGGGGCAAGTGAACCAGGTTTTTTGCACACCCCTAATGTTTGGTGCATAATATAGAATAAGGCCTGATAGTATAAGACCTGATTAAATTTTAATACTATCCAGCATTTAGTATGGTATTGTATAAGATAATATCCTCCAATATTTTAAAATTAATATATTAAAAAAATTATTTTAATATATAAATATTGAAATGATATATTAGTTCTTGAGAATTATACTTGAAAGCAATATTAATACATCAACCTCTTGTCAGGCCTGAATCCACCACTCCTAAGCCTGATTAAGTTATACAATATTTTGATGTATAAAGGGATCATGTTATACTATAAGATGGTCACATCAAACAACTGAAAATATCATAACATATAGTATAAGCTTATACTATCAGACCTTATACATCACACCAAACAAGACCTCAAGCTCATCGGTCTTTGCCCTTTTTCCATTTGCCTCAAGTTCTATTCTTTAGCCCGATACCAGGTTCGAAAACTCTTTACCTATTTCTCCCCTCTAAAAATTCTCTCTCAAATACCATATTTTTAATTTACTTTCTTCCCTTATTCTTAATCATTTCCTTCTCACCCAAACGCGACTTAGTACTAGGTTTATGGCCACTTGGTCGACAATTGTGACAATTTTTTGCCGTGGTTGGAGCAGAAAGCTGGTTCTAGGATTTCATCATTGCTTTCAATTGGGATTTTGTAAGAATATTGTTGCTGCAAATGACCTTGTTTTTCTTTGATAAAAGACTTGGTATTAATTGACAAAATATTAACAGTTAATTTAGGATCAGTTGTTTGAGGGTTAGATTCTTCATAACACAAAATGGAACATTGAAGCATTTTTTCTGTTTGTCTTATATATTTTTTTTATTTTGGGAAAAATGTTTATCCTTTTAAATGACACAACTTATATTCTTTCACTCTCACAAAGAGGTAGGACCCACGCCTTTATTTTTTTTGTCAACTCTCTCTTCGTTTATCTATCTCTTTCTCTCTCTTAAAATGACACAACTTTACATCCTTTAAAATGACACACACTTTTCCCATAAACTTTTATGTCATTACTTCTTTATATGTTGCTTGCATGTAGGTCTCTGTTTGCTTTTAAGATAGGGGAGGGATATTCTTACTACTAAATTTTTTTACTACTAACTCACTACCTATCTAATTACCATTGGATCAATATTTTCTCTTTTTTCAAAAACTTTTTAGCATTCTCTCTCTTTGATTCAATGGTGATTAGATATGTAGTAAGTTAGTAGTAGAAAATTTTGGTAGTAAGAATATCCTCCGTCTTTAAGATAACACAAACTGGAGATTGCATTTTAAAGGTTCCTCGCTTTTTGACTATTGTGTCCTTTTGACCAAAATAAGTACTACTTTATCCTTGTTCCAAAATATTTCACAGATTTGTCCCTCTTCGATTGTTGAGCGACCCATATATTTTTAAGTACATGACATTATACTCGAGTACATTTCGTATTATGAGATTTTTTTTAACATTTACTAGAGTATAGGACCCAGATACTCAAATATTTATTGTTGCACGCAATATACTCGAGTATATGGGTCATTTACTAAAACTTTCCTCCAGGAATTTTTCAACACGTAGCTCTCGAAAAATTAAGTGGAATAAAAAAAATCACTTGATTCGGACCCTTGAGTCAAAAGTTATAGCCTTTTGAAGTTTTACTTTAAAATTTTCAAAATTTTGTAATGCTAATAGGTTTTGTGATACCCACAAAGCTCCCTATCAGGTTACCCGAGTCAAGTTCATAATATTATGAGTATATGACTATAGAAACTTGTTTAATCCAAAAAGTCTTGTGAAAAAAATTTAACCGTAAAAACTTGTGAATCAGGTGACCAGATTAGGCCATAACTTTTAACTTAGATATCTGAATTAGGTATTTTTTTTATTCCACATAACTTTTTGAGAGCTATGCGTTGACAAATTCTCGGAGGATTATTGTTATTGTTGGAAAATAAAAATTCAAATAATATCATTCGCAAAGATAAAATATATCAAACGGGACACAAAAAAACATTTTTTGGAAAAAAAAAAATTGGACCAAATCCCTTATGAAGTTTTACTGTAAAATTTCCAAAATTTTATAATGGAAATAGATTTTTGTGATATTCATAAAGCTTACTCAGGTTGTTCGTGTCAAGTACAATATTATAAGTATATGACAATAGAAACTTGTTTGGTCCAAAAAATATAGTGTTCCAAAGTTTTACGGTTAAATTTTTTTCCACAATATTTTTTTGATCGAACAAGTATCTATAGTCATATACTCATAATATTGTGGACTTGACTCGAGTAACCAGAAGAGAGCTTTATGGGTATCACAAAACCTATTGATATTATAAAATTTTAGAAATTTTACAATAAAACTTCGAAAGATCATTACTTTTGACTCGGGCATTCGAATAAAGTGTTTTTTTATTTCACATAACTTTAAAAGAGCTACACGTTGAAAAATTGCCGTAGAAAATTTTTTGAACATTTCCTCGAGTATATTGCATAGAACAGAATATACTCGAGTATCTGGATTTTATACTCATGTAAATGATAAAAAAAACCCAGAATACATACTATACTCACTCGAGTAATGGGTCGGTCAATGGTCTTATACCTGTTTTGAAATTGTCCACTTTGATATTTGGAGAACATATTCCATGTCTACAGTTTTACTGGCGCACGTTATTTTCTTAAACTAGTGGATGACGTCGACAGTGATGGATGAGAAATCCAAAACCCAAACTTTACTGAAACGGTTCTTCATGTTGGTTCAAAGTAATTTTGGCTCCATGTTTAAAACACTCTGAACGGACAATGATTCAGAATTCCTTATTAATTCCATGCTCGAGTTATATGCTAACCTATGTTAAATAAACAACCAGTAATTTTCCAGAGCCTCGAAGTTCATTTTTAGTTTTTATATTTACATTTTGACCAAACTCCATTTCATTTTTCTAACATCCTAAAGTCTATTGTATAAGTGTTGAGAAATTACTAGTTGTGACACAAACTAAGAAAAAACATAGAAGGGAGAGTAGTGTAATTTAAACATATAATAGTAAAGAAGAGTATGATTATTCAAAATATTCATTTTATGATATGATGTTAAAGGCAAACTTAGGTTGATGACTACCAATCTAAACATGAATCCATTAGAATTCTTAAACAAAATTGCAAGAAGTACAGTTAATGATCTAAAGATTGCGGAGAATGATCCTCTGCAACTTCTTTCTTAAATCTAGGCCTTTAAAATAACTTTTCAGCATAAAATATCAAAGATATATATAATTTAATGAATAACAATCCTCATCTCATGAACTTCACCTCAAGCAATTTTTTTAGAACTACAAAGGATTCTTGTTCTGATGACAAAGAAATTCAGCCCTTAAAATAATTTCTGTAAGATAAAATATTTAAGGTTATCATATTATATTTATACATCATTTCTTTTGGGCTACAATCAATTGCACTTTTTCAGTTCTAATAAAAAGTTGATAAGTCATGATCTATGTAAGTGTATTATATAAGCCACTTAATTGAGTGATCCTTTTATTTAGACTTAAATATTTGTAATATTAATTAGTGTAAGTAAAAGTGCTGTGGAACTTATAAGCTCATAATTGAAAGGGGATTAAGATTAATAATTTTGACTAAATTTTAGTCTCCCAAATTTTGCATAATTTCCAAATCAAATGCATGCGACACTTTTTTGAGACGCAAAAAGCATGTAATAAACAAGTAAGCTAAATCTGGTGTTCTAATTTGATATAATTCAATTTATATAAAACATATATAAGCTAAATACCCCAGAAAATGAAAAGAAAAAGAAAACTAATTTTGAGTAATATACTGTTTGATTGTATTCTGGATTTTTTTGTTCTTAAATCTTTTTTGTAAAATAGTTAAGGAAATAGTTGTTTTCTATATTTATTTATTTTTGAAAGTTAAAAATCAAAACAGAAAAAAAATAAAACAATTCAGGCATGTTCTCTAAATTTGATTCTAAAAACAAAAAAATAGTTATAGTTTTCAAAACATTTTTTACAAAACAGGTCTTCACAAACGAGTTTTTTAATTTTTTTGTTCTGAAAACTAAAAAACTATTTTTAAAAACTACGGAGCCATATTGTTTGAATAGAGAAGGCAAGTCAAAGTGGCGAGCAAGGCATCAATAAGTGGATTTTAAAAAAATTAAAATATTAGGAAAGCATACAAATTCATAAAAATGCACCTAAATTCTGAGAAATGATACAAGAATGATATAAATAAGCAAGATTTTGGGTTAAATAGTTGGAATTACCTCTCTAAATTATGCACAGTCCTTCCACTCCATGTATTTTATTGCTTCTCTTGAGTGTGAACTTCTCTTGAGTGTGAACCGGATGCATCTTCTTTCCCTATACTACACCATGTTAATGAGATTCTTCTTCTCGTAACAAAATTAATCTTTTCGGATATATGCAGCGACACAGCCTGACTTTATTCTAATTGTTCAAAAATGGTGAACATTTTGAAATTAACATTAATCTTGTTTAACTATTAGGTTCAAATAACCCTAATTAATGTGAAATGAGAATTAATTTAAGGGAAACATAAATATGTATATCAATACTCAAAACATTCTGATCCGTATTAACGAGAAGCTTTTGCCAGATTTAATACACATCAATATATGGATATAGCATATCCATTGCTGAAGTTTTTGGCAAATAAAAATTAACAGTATATATCTAAGGCTTTAAACTGTAGTAAACATCAAATCAAGAACAGCCACTGCACAAACAAATGATCATGTAATATAGGAGCAGTTCACACTGAAAATGGAAATAACGTTCGGATAGAAAATGGAAAAAGCAGATATAACAAAAGGAGACCATGTGATGTTTTTACCTCATTGTTCAGCACATAGTTAAGAATTTTGAACTCTTCAATCTCCAGCAGCGATCCATTGAATATGTAAATGCATTCATTCAAAACTGCAAGTCTTGGCCTCATTCTTATAATCCACTCCTTTGCTAGTCTTTCGTTCCCTTTTTATTTTTGTATTTTTATTTATTTTTTAATTACTCTCACACCGAAAAACTTTACAGCTAGCCACTCATTTACAAGTGCAGGTATTGGCCTCATATTTGTTATCCTTTCGTTCGCGAGTCTTGTCTTGTTCTTTTTAGACACATCAGAGAAAATACCGAAAAAAGAAAAGGACACCTCAATTATTGGTCTCGTACAATCCATTCTTTTGCAAAAGCATATGATAATAGCGATTTATTCTTTTATCCAGTGTGGCGTGATGCACTCACACCGAGATGGGATATGAAACACGACACAATTTGACACGTTGGGATACATTTTGATATTAAATAAAAATTTTAATATATATAATATAATTTATATTTAATACATATGAGAGTCCATAATAAATCATATAACCAATCAAATATTTAAATTTCATAACATAAATATAAACAAAAATAATTTTTCGTAATTTGTTAATTTTTCATGTCAAATTTCATAATAAAAAAATTAATTTATAAATTAATTTTTTTATATTTAGTTAATAAAATAAAATTAAGACTAAAAAAAAACGTGTCAGAGCGTTGATTGCGTGTCGAAAAAAGTTGACTGCGGATCAAAAAAATATATCGGAAAGTTGACCACCTGTCCCAAAATGATGACACGTGTCCGCACGCTATTGTTTTTTAAAAAGTCGTGTAAGGCCGAGGCAACATAACAAGATTACCTCCGGAAAAAAAAAATTATTTGGAGGACGGGTGCGATATATTTTGTTCCACCACAGAGAATTATTTGATTTTTTTCATTTCAAACAGTTTATACGATACATTATAGCAATCTGGGATTTTATGATTTCCAAAAGTGGATTCAATCCCTAAACGTGATCATTTTACTTGGGAATCAAAGATAATAAAAAAAGAAAAAAAATGAATGGCCCGATCATGTCTCAACGGCCAATCTTCGACAGAATAGAAAGTTCCATTGGAACAATTCTTTATTTCTATTTCGAGATACCCGGTCTCTTTTTTTTTCTTTTTTTTTTCCAAAAAAAAATGTGGGGATAAATGACAAAAAGATATTGGAACATAACTTTGGAAGAGATGATGGAAGCAGGAATTCATTTTGGCCTCTGTGCTTTTGAGGTGGCCATTGCTTTTGTCAGTGTCAGCAGAAAAGATGAGGGGAAATTTGGAATAAGGAAAAAATTTTAAAATAATGAAAAAATGAGATTGGGAATTCAATTTATCAAGTTTAGCACTAGAATTATATAAAAAAAAAAATTCTGAAAAGTTGAATTTTCGAAATCCATGTTTATAAAGAAAAAATTTATCTTAAAATACCACAAAATTAGTGGTATACTGAGAATTTCATGTGATGAAAATATTTAATTTTTTATAATCATCAATATTTTTTTTTGATAAACTAATCATTAATATTTTATAATCAATCAAACATAACATAAAAAAATTATCAAAAAACTTATTTTTCTATCATATTTTCAAAAATCAAGATTCTCAAATAAAAAAAAAAAATTCTTCCTACGAGTAACTTGCACCGCTGGAGCTAGAGGTAAGTCGTAGCTATGGCCGACTTAAATCGTTAAATATTTATATTAAATTATATTCAAATTTAAAAGAAAGATATTGTAATATAAATTTGTTTAAGGGCTATGCTTTTCTCGTACTATTGGAAAGGAGGAAATCTCCTACACACTCAAATTTATGGTGGAACCCACACATAAAAAAATAAAATAAGAAACAAAAAAAAATTATTGTACACAAAACAAACTTTCACTAACATGAAAAGAGAGCTCCTGTACAACATAAGAATTCTTTTTCCCTTTTTAAATGCGTAAAAATAGTTATCTATCTTGGTGTCTTTATATGGAAATGCATAGAAAACTTTTTACACCTTTCATACCTGACACTCAATAATAATGATGTTATAAGAATGATTATTTAAGGTAACCAAAATCGTAACAGTGGATTCGAGTAAATTGAGTGGTACCTTTTGGTGAACAACATCTTTGCAAAGAAAAACAATAGTGAGTGATACGTATCCACACTTCATTGGACATTTGCTTTTTTGTAATCTGCAGGCTATTCTTTGTAGGCATGTAGGTTTCGATTCCTATTAATTAGTAGATTAGATTAGGTAGTCATTTTGTTAAAAGAGAGAGTGACAAAAGGAAAAGCATGATAAATTAAAGTAGGAAAGTAGGATAGAAAGTAAGATGTAGCTCTTCCACATCATGTGTGCGGACAAACTTAAGAATTAGGATTGTTTATTTTTGTTAATTGAATAACCGGGTGCTTGATAGGAGATGGAAAAAAAAAATTCTACAAAAATAGGGTGGAAATAGGGTGGAAAAATTTATTTATTTATATTTGTTAGGAGGTGAAGTAAAAATATGGCTGTGAAATTTTTTTTCCATCATTTATTTTTCCATATAAAATGGTTATGAAAGATTGCCATTGATGGGATAGAATTATATTTTTTCCATTCGGTGAAAAAATTAACACACAATATCAGTAAAATTAATCCAACATTCAAGAAAAAATTTGGCTTACAAAATACCTTTTTGTAACTTACCTAAGAAAAAAATTCCTCATTATATTTCCGGAACACCTTCGGTCTTTCACCCAGAAATCCCTTACGTGCATATTCTGTAAGTTTTCTGTGATGTAGGTTTTGACATTACAGAAAAAATACTCCGGTGCATATGGTGTCTCACAGTCAATTACTCAGCCCCTCTTGCTCTTAAGATTCAAAGAACTTATGAGATTCTTATGACTCCTGAAAGTTCAGAATACTTTTTATGGTCCTTGTTCGAATGGTACTCTCTATTGCCATGGTGGAGAAAAGAACTACACAAGATCATTCTATCCAAGGAACGAGAAGGAAAAACAAGAGAATAAATTTCAAAGATCACTGCCATTTTTATCATCCACAGACCACACTGGCAAAGATCCGATGGACTCATATGGTCTTAGAATATTGCATATCTTTGGAGATATTTTAATGATTATCCATTGGATCCCTATTCCAAGGCACCCCTGTTAAAACATATCAAGGAACTTAATGGGTATGAAGATCCATATGATCAGCCAAGCTCCTCGCACGACCCAAGCTCTTCCCAAGGCCCAGATCCAATGCAGATTGATTTGGTCTTTGATCCAATTACAGAAACCATTCAAGATTTCGATACTGATATCATAGATCCTAATGCTAATGTCATGAAAGAAATAATTGAGGAAAAAGCCAAACCAGACAAACCTTGGTGGAAAGAAATATATAGTGATGTCCACTCAGAAGAAAGAAGAGCTTTAAATTTGTTTATTAGTACCGACACTACTGATGATGTCTAAAGTGGAAAGACACGTGTATGGTTATAATTTAAAGTGTGTACCAAATAATTTAACTATTAGAAAAGTTGATTGTCTATTGTATAATTATGTCTGATGAGGTGTATTTATTATGCTTGTTGTTATTATAGTTTCTTTGCCTATAAAAGGAAACCTTGAGTGCTTGTATTGGCAGAACAAGTTTGCAGAAAATAAAAGCTTGTGTGTTTTTCCTATGAGTTTCTAAAGAGTTCTCTCATCCCTTCAAAAACTTAGTATAATGTTCTTACTATAATTATTAATCTCTGGATGAGAAAGTTAGTATGCTCTACACTTGCCCTGCAAAGGGATCCTATGTATCAGAAAAAGGACTCTGTAATGATCCAGTATTACGGTCCTCTCATCTTTAAGGATTCATGGATGATAGTCTCCGATAAAAGAGCTAAGAGGCAGAGGGGTGCCTTGAAATGCTCAAATGAAAGGAAGACTAGTCCATGGTTTCTTAAGGATTGTGAGGCTCCCGACACTTGGTATTAGAGCCAAACACTGTGTGTCATCATCGATGACAGGCTCCTTGCCTGATGAAGGCAGCTTTAAGGAAACTTTTCGAGTTTCTTCTAGAGAAAGGGTAAAGATAGTAATAATATTATATGAGGTGAGTAGGAGAGGAACTTCTCAAATCATGGATAACACAAACACTGAAAATACCCAGCCTATAATGTTACATTCTTCCCTGTTCCTTCCTAAACACATTCCCTGAAAAATATCTTCAAAAATAGAAAACCTTATAAAGTACTCTTATGTTACTGAAGATGCAAAAATCCTTGAAACAGTACCACATTTGCTCAGTCCTTATAATATTTTCAAAAGACAAAGATTTGTGTTTAAGAGTATTACCAAGTTGATCTCCACGAGGAGATCGACGATGAAAGAATATGTCCAGTCTTCCAAAATGGATCAGTGTGAGCTACAAGCCACTTCTCAAGAACAGTATGTAAATCTAGAGATTCCTACTGAGTTAATCACTCACTGGAGGCAAGAAGGCTATACTGCACTTCATTTTGGTGCAATAAGACTAATCCTTTCACTCCATGGAAGGAAAGGTCTACCAGTCACATCTCGTATTGCTCTGCTAGATTCTAGCTTCATCCATTACAAAAATGTTGTTATTGGAAATGTGTTGACGACTCTTCATGCGGGAAGTGTGGTTTTAACCATCTTTCCAAATTATAATGTGAGTCTGAAAGACAGAACCTTGCCAAAACGGTTTATATGAGGTGAGTAGGAGAGGAACTTCTCAAATCAAGTCTCTCAAAATTGAAAACTATCTCTTTCGATATTGGTCAAAAACACAAAAAATAAAAAAGGTGCCTTCAGATCTGCTTTCTTACTTTGTCTTTTCCATTGTACCTTCTTGACTCATAATTTTTTCTTTGCACAAAGAGGTTTGAATTTTTTGTGCAATGGAGGATTTCCCTAAAAAGCAGTATTCTTGACTGTTTGAATTTTTTTTTTCTTCCTTACAACTATTTGGTAGGGTGGTCAATGAAATATATGTTTTTTGTGGTTTTTTTTTTTGTTAAGTTGAAAATCAAAACACAAGAATAGAAAGTGAAATATATAGGCTCTATTTGATTACTGTTTTTAAAAACAGTTTTTTAGTTTTCAGAACAAAAAAACTCGTTTGGTAAAACCTGTTTTGTAAAAAAAGTTTTAAAAACTGTAACTATTTTTTTTGTTTTTAGAATCAAATTTAGAAAACATGTCTGAGTTGTTTTTGTTTTTTGTTTTTGTTTTTAACTTTCAAAATAAAAAAAAAATAAAAAACAACTGTTTTCATAATTATTTTACAAAACAGTTCACAATCAAACAGGCCCCATGATCTCTAAATTTGATTCTAAAAATTAAAAAATATATAATTTTAAAATTATTTTTACAAAATATTTTTTTTCTCAGAAAATTTAAAAATTATTTTTGAAAATAGAATCTAGGCCCAAATTATTTTTTGGAACACAATTCCCCCGTTCATGGAAAATATATATAAGGGGATATTCTCTAATTGTGGAGACAATTTAATTGCCTAATTACATGTTCAACTTAGTGAATAAAATAAGAATAATTTGGTTAAAATTTACCTTCGGAAGTGTCGGTAACTAATCAAACCAACGGAAAATGGTATATTAATTAAAAAGAATTATGCATTAGGCTATTCATGTAGATATATTGAATACAGTGTACTCGTAAATTCTATAGTTTGAGTTTGTTTATTATTCCTTAAGAAAGGAAAACGTGATTTAAATTTCTGTTAAGGCTATCACAGTTTTTCACCCTCAAAGTTAAAATAAACAATTAATACTAAAATAAATATAAAATAAAAAGTACAACATCATTTATTAATAGAAAAAATGAACTAATATTTCATCAGATGTAACAGACAAAAACAAATAGTTTAAAATACACAAGGAAAATAAGATGATTTTGGCTTCTTTCATCTGATAAATGAAGAAACTAACCAAAGAAATATTCAAACAACAAAGTTCCAACAGAAAATATAGATATGTAGAAGTACAAGAAAAAATAGGAATGTAGCAATCAAAATGCGCTTTGAATTACGTAATTTTTGCAATGCATTTGGAGAGACATGTAAAGCAAACCAGACACGAGCACATCTCTAATACTATAAGAGTACGTACTTCTTTACTTAAAAATAGAAAAACATAAAATATAAATGTCAATAATCACAAAAGGTGGATAAAATAAAATAAAAAAAGTTAGTTATATTATTTTTTTTTTATCAAATTTAATAAAAGACCAATTTTCAGTATTCCGAAATACTGAAGATATTTTTACAAGACCCGTCTTTCCACTTCATCCAACCAATCCTTACCAAAAGGAAATCTGCGCATGTCTTGTAGTAACTGCACAAGATCTGAGTGACTTGATTCCAACACATCGAACGCACTATGGGTTTGGAGGAATTTCAATAGCTCAGCGAGGCAATCATAGGCATGACCCTTGCATCTTTCACTACATGCATTGCTTAGACAAACAGAAGGATGCTTCACAAGGAAATCAGTGAGCAAAGACAAGTTCTCTGGAGCCAAACGTTTCTTGGATACCAATTGCTCTAGCTCCCTTTTGACAAGTGAAGCAAAATTTAAATCCTCCATGTTTTGAGAAGAGTTCCCTGAAATTGAAGGAAAGAGTGATTTAAGCATCCGGAGAAACAAAATAAAAACAAAAAGAGAAGAAGGGGAGACAATACCTTCAAATGGGACTGAAGGAGATTGGGATGCAATAGGAGAAGGGATACTAGGAGAGCCCTTAGATTCTGAAACTCCTATGTTATCCTCGTTTGAAGTATGTTCCTTAATAATTGAGCTCACTTTCATGGAAGCATCATCATTTAAAAAAACTAAGCAAAAGATGGGAGAGAAAAGAGTTCAAAATCAAAAGTGTGATGCTGTAACAAAAGAAAAAAGAAAAAGAAGATGCAAGAGTCTTCACCAGGAGCATGAGTCTTAGTAAGGGCGTCCTCAAACTCAGAAGTTTCTTGGGAGTCTTTAATATCAACATCTTTGGTAGTAGGAGGCTCTGAAAAAGAAGGTTGGGCAATTTGGCCATGGCCATCTTCCTACACAGATTCAAATAAACAAATGATATTATCATCTCCTAAGTCTTTAAAAATATAGGGTCATCCTTACAGCAATAATTAGTATATGTTTCAGATCGGATGAGCATGATTTCGCTATGGGAAGTAGAAGAAGAAAAGAATAAGAAAACAAAAGAATTAGTCTTGATTTTACAAACTAAAAAGAAAAAAGAAAATTAGTATTAAGCCTCAACAATTACTGAGCAACAATTTTTCAGCGCCTCAATTTCTTCTTGTTCCATTCAAATTGGTTCAAACCTAGATTCTTTCAAATCCAAAGTTGTGGTAATTAATTGGGTTTAAACTTTAATAAATATAAAAAATAGGAAATGAAGGGTTTATGTTATGAAGAGGTGTGTCCCTAGGAATTTGTTAGTGGACAATTATTATGCTTTGGTGAAGAGGTGTGTCCCTAGGAATTTGATAGTGGACAATTATTTAATGTTAGAGTTACTAGGTTACCTTTTAATTGTTTTAGTCATTTGCTATTGCTTATAAATAGCACTATGTAAACCATTTGAAGATGGACTTGGTATATACAGTAATAGAAAGAGGTATTGATCAGAGAAAAAGAACTCCTCATGTGTAAATTTGTGTGTTTGAGTGTTTGAGAAAAACACCATTAGAGGACCTGTGAATTACAAATTGGTATTAGAGCTTGAACCAATGGAGAGAAATAGTCTGCCAGTGCCCCGTCTGACAAAGACGAACTTTGAAAAATTGGAGCATCCAAATGAAAGCTCTTCTAAGAGCCCATGATAGTTGGGAATTGGTGCAAGTTGGGTTCGTAGAACCAGAATTGACAGTAGGATATTCAGCGAATCAACTCAGACAGTTGAAGGCATCAAAGACAAAGGATGCAGCGACACTTTGTATAATGTTTCAAGCTGTTGAAGAAATTGGTGGCCTTGAGAAGATAGGAGGGGAGGCAACAACAAAGGAGGCTTGGGATATTTTGGAGACGGTTTACGAAGGAGTTGATCGTGTGAAGCAGGTCAGACTTCAAACTCTACAAGGAGAGTTGGAAGTCATGAAAATGAAGGAGACCGAAGGATTGTCAGATTTTATCACCCGGATTCAGACCGTGGTGAATCAGCTAAAGCGGAATGGAGAGGCCCTGCCAGAGTCCAGAGTGGTAGAGAAGATATTGAGATCGTTGACAGACGACTTTGAAAACGTGGTGCGTGCGATTGAAGAATCTAAGGACTTGTCTACGCTCTTTGTTGATGAGCTAGCAGGTTCTCTTGAGGCGTATGAACAACGCGAGAAAAAGAAGAAGAAGGAAGAGACACTGGAGCAAGCACTCCAGTCAAAAGCAAATATCAAGGAAGAAAAGGCGCTCTACTCTCAGAATGCCCGAGGTAGAGGTCGTGGAAGAAGTGGACGAGGTGGTCGTGACCGAGGTCAGGAGACAAGACATGTGAGGTGAAAACTGAGTCTAGTCATCAAAACTGGAGAGGTAGAGGACGAGGCCGAGGTGGAAGAGGCCGATGGACAAACCAATCAAACATGGAATGTTACAAATGTGGGAAGTATGGACATTACTCAAGAGATTGCAACTCGGACAGATGCTATAACTATGGCCGAGTTGGGCATTTTGCTAAAGATTGTCGTGATGAGAAAAAGTTTGATGAGACTTCAAACTTCGCTGCAGAAGGAGAAGCAAGAGATGGAGGAGTTCTTATGCTAGCCCATGGAGAAACAAGTTCAAAGAATGAGACAGAGTGGTACCTGGACTCTGGTGCCAGTAACCACATGTGGGGTCACAAACATTTATTTAAAGAATTAAGAACGTTGGAAGCAAAGCATGTGTCTTCGGAGATGCATCGAAGATAGATGTAAAAGGTCGAGGTACGATCTGTTTCTTGCAAAAGGACGGACAAGTTGGTACAATTCGGGACTTGTATTACGTGCCTGAGCTCAAAAGCAATATTCTAAGCATTGTACAGTTGATGGAAAAGGGCTACTCGATTTTTATGACAGACCGAGTTCTGCTGTTGAAAGATAAACAAGGGCGTCTGATAGCCCGAGTTCAGATGAAGAAGAATATAATGTATAAGTTGTGCTTGAGCAGCTTGGAGGACGGCTGTTTGCAAGCCAGAATCGAGGATAAGATGGAATTGTGGCATAAACGATTTGGACACCTTCATTATGGTGGTCTGACCGAGATGATGAAGAAGAACATGGTAGTGGGACTACCAAAGATTAACTCTGAAGCAAAATTTTGTGAGGACTGCGTATTGGGAAAACATGCGAAGAGCCCGTTCCAAAGGATGGCGAGATACCGGACTAGGCAGCCTCTTGATTTGATCCATACCGACCTGTGTGGACCCATTACTCCGGGGTCCTTCAGTGGTAAGAAGTATTTTGTAACTATTATTGATGATTTTAGTCGAAAGACTTAGGTGTATTTTCTGAAGGAAAAATCTGAAGTGCTAGAGGCATTTAAAAGGTTTAAAGTAATGATAGAGAATGGTACTGGGAGGTACATCAAATCGGTCCCTTCAGACCGAGGTGGGGAGTACGTCTCGACAGCTTTCAAGAAGTATTGTGAAGAACATGGGATAAGGCGGTTCCTGACCGAACCGTACTCGCCCCAGTAGAATGGAGTAGCTGAGAGAAAGAATCGGACTATCCTGGATATGGTCTGATCCATGTTGAAGACAAAGAACATGCCGAAAGAGTTCTGGGGAGAGGCCGTGCAATGTGCAGTGTACGTGCAGAACATATGTGCACATTCAAGTTTGAATGACAAGACTCTGCAGGAAGCATGGAGTGGTTTGAAGCCCTCAATGGGTCACTTTAAAGTCTTTGGGAGTGTTGCGTATGCACACATACCAGATCAGCTGAGGACAAAGCTAGAAGATAAGAGCAAGAAGTTTGTGTTTATTGGTTATGATGAGAAGACTAAGGGATATAAGTTGCTGGATCCTGTCAATAGAAAAGTACTGGTTAGCCGAGATGTGAAGGTGAATGAAGAAGATGCTTGGGACTGGAGTAGTCCATCCGAGGTGAATGTTGAACTCGGAAAAATGACAATTGAGGTCGGACAACCCTCGACCCGCATTCCAGAAAATTCAAATGATTCTGATAGTGAAGAAGAGTTGAGACAACCAAGAAGGAGGAGTCTACAAGATCTGTATGATTCCACCAGTGAAGCACACTTGGTATGTTTGTTGGCAGATTCTGAAGAAGTGAGTTTTGAAGAAGCAATCCGAGATGAGAAATGGCAATCAGCCATGGAAGAGGAGATTAAAGCAATAGAAAAGAACAAGACATGGGAGTTAGCCGAGCTGCCCAAAGAAAGTCGGCCCATTGGTGTGAAATGGGTGTACAAGAAGAAAATGAACGCTAAAGGGGAGATCAAAAGATATAAAGTCCGGTTGGTAGCGAAAGGGTATAAGCAGAAGGCCGGCATTGACTATGACGAGGTGTTCGCGCCCGTAGCAAGAATGGAGACAATCAGGCTGTTAATTTCTCAAGCAGCCCAGTTCGGATGGCCGATCTATCAGATGGACGTGAAGTCGGCATTCTTAAATGGAGTATTCGAGGAGGTGTATCTGAAACAACCTCTGGGATTCATGAAAGCCGGACAAGAAAGAAAAGTGTTGAGACTGAAGAAAGCTTTGTATGGGTTGAAGCAAGCCCCAAGAGCCTAGAACACGAGAATTGACAATTACTTCAAAAAAGATGGACTTGAACAATGTCCGTATGAACACGCACTCTACGTAAAGAAGAAAGGAGGTAAAATTCTACTTATTGCTATATATGTTGATGATCTGATTATCCTGGGTAATGATGAAGGAATGATTCAAGATTTTAAGAAGAAAATGACGAAGGAGTTTGAGACGACGTATCTCGGTCTGATGAGATACTTTCTTGGTTTGGAGGTTAGACAAGATGAATCCGGGATCTTCGTCTCTCTGGAAGCCTATGCAAAATGAATTTTAGAGAAGTTCAAAATGAGTGATTGCAACCTGGTTTCAACCCCCATGGAACCCGGCGTTAAACTTTCAAGATATGATAGAGGAGAAAAGGTAGATCCGAGTGTTTATTGTAGTCTAGTTGGAAGTCTGAGGTACTTGACATGTACAAGGCCGGATCTGTCTCTGAGTGTTGGAATAATAAGCCGATTTATGGAAGAGCCGAAGTATACTCATTGGAAGGTGACAAAGAGAATTCTAAGATATGTGAAAGGAACAATTTCTCAAGGACTTCTTTACTTGAAGTCAGACAAGTACAAGCTGACAGGCTACTCGGATAGTGATTGGTGCGGAGATGTGGATGACAGAAAGAGCACGGCTGGCTATGTATTTTTTATGGGGAATACGGCGTTTACTTGGGTATCGAAGAAGGAACCCATTGTAACTCTATCTACATGCGAAGCCGAGTACGTAGCTGCTTCGTGGTGCGTGTGCCATGCAATTTAGCTGAGAAATTTATTGAGCAAGTTGGAGCAAGAGCAAGTTGGTTCAACTGAGATCCGGGTTGACAACAAATCAGCGATCGAGTTGGCAAAAAACCCGGTCAACCATGAAAGAAGCAAGCATATTGATGTCAGATTCCATTTCATCCGGGATCAAGTAAACGAAGGAAAGGTGGAGCTCAGTCATGTGGCAAGCCGAGATCAAATTGGAGATATTTTCACGAAGCCCCTGCCGACGTTGTTGTTTGAGAATTTGACGAAGAAGATGAGAATGAAGGACGGTAGAGATATTAAAGTTTAAGGGGGAGTTTTGTTGGGTTTAAACTTTAATAAATAAAGTAATTAAAAAATAGGAAATGAAGGGTTTATGTTAGGAAGAGATGTGTCCCTAGGAATTTGTTAGTGGACAATTATTATGCTTAGAGTTTGGTGAAGAGGTGTGTCCCTAGGAATTTGTTAGTGGACAATTTTTTAATGTTAAGAGTTACTAGGTAACCTTTTAATTGTTTTAGTCATTTGCTATTGCTTATAAATAACACTATGTAAACCATTTGAAGATGGACTTGGTATATGCAGTAATAGAAAGAGGTATTGATCAGTGAAAAAGAACTTCTCGTGTGTGTAAACTTGTGTGTTTGAGTGTTTGAGAAAAACACCATTAGAGGACCTGTGAATTACGTAAACATGGCAGTATTACTTTTAAGTAGACTATCATAATAGAAAGCACAGTTGCATACAATAAACTTACCTGTGGATATTTTTTGGGCTCAGTAGTAACTAAAGGGCCTGACGACGAACTAACTGATTCTGAGATAGTTGACGATCTTATTGTCTTGGCATCCACTGATGTAATTCCATCATAAACACTTTATAATAGCCCATCTTAATTAATTAGTAAATCAAGTGTAATTAATTAATTAAACATGTTTTACTGGGTAAAATTAAGTATAATGCTTAATTAAATGAATCTGAGTCACTTTGGAGTTAAAAGTGTACTCAGTGAAAATTAAGGGGTATAAATGGGTACTGATGAAAGTGCCCAAAATATAAAAATAAAAATAGTAATATTCCTAGAATAATATTCCAGACTTTTGGGTAAAGTTTGGTAATTATTGGAGTTGAATAGATAGACGAACCAATACCCGCTTAAAGCCACTTAACCAATGTTAAGTGACTAAAAGCCAAAAGAGCCCCATTTCCCACCCCATTTCGTCGACGCCAGAAGAGGAGAAAGGAGAAGAGAAGAGAGGGAGAAGAGAGGGAAGAAGAAAAGGGAAAGAGAGAGAGAGAAAGCAAATCTCAACCAAATCCATCCGTTCAAAAGCCTAAACCACTCCAAATCTCCTCCTCTTTCATAATCCTTGCTTTGTTTTGAGTGGGGAGCATTGTGGAGAGGGATATTGCCTCTCAAAAATTCGGCCATTGGAGAGATTTTGGGGTTTTGGGAAGTTCAACCTCCATGGGAGCTTGAGGAACACTCCTTGCTTGGTTGTGTGACCCTTGGTGGTAAGATTCTAACCCTTGAACCTCATGATTCCTTGAAATTTGCATGAGTTAGGGTTTATGAATAGTGTTTTAGGGATTTTGATGAAATGTTGTTAAATTAGCTATGTTCTAGGAAGAATGGAGCTTAGAGCATGTTATGGAAAATGCTAGAAATACCATTTAATCGGTGAAAATGAGCTTAGATAGCTAAATGAGTATACTTGTAAAATGGCAAGAATATGATGCTTGATATTGGATTTCTTGCATTGTTGATGAATGATATGACTTGGTTGATTGATGATTGTGTCCTAATGATGTCTAGGATTGAGACATTTGGACCGACCGTGAGCGATCAACCGCTTGAACAAGCTATGGAGCTTGAGTAGCTCATTGGAATTGGTGTTGGTTTTGGAGTAGAGTATTGTTGACATTGGTGAAGAACAAAGGTCGACTGAAGCATTGAGGTAAGCCTTCGGACCTTGGGTGTAATTCCCTTGACTGTTCTACCAAGCCCTGAAAGGGTGGAGGTTGTGATTGTGTATATAAATGCAATAAAATAGTGTAATGCTTTGTTATACGTATGTGTATGCATTTGGTGTGGCATAGGATGGTGTTTCCCTATGTTGGTATGTGGCATGACGATGCGTAAATCATACTTGGTAGTTAGCTGGCCAGTAGGACTATTTGCATCTGAGTTTCCTTAGGACAGCTTGAGAGCTCGAGGGATTTCTCCTGGAGATGTATTGCACTTTGCATAGATATGTATTTACTGCATTATTATTGTTATTGCTATTACACTGATATGGAACTGTGGGGTGGAGAGATGCTCCAAGGACCCCTGGTTTACTGGATATATTCGTATATCTCACCCCGTGTTGTGGGGACCCCCTTTTAGGTAAGGATGCTGCAGGAGCCTCTGGTGGCAAGTGGCCATATCTGGATTATGCATGAAATGTGGCATTTCTTTTGAGATTGTACATGTTGTTTTGTAGCTCACATGTATAGAATTGTAATGAATAGGCAATGCTAGATTTATGATTTGTATATTGGAATGAACTTAGCCTATGCTCATGCCTTTGGTCATCTCTTTTGTTGATGGGAGCCAAGGGAATGATCATAGTGTTTTGTAAGCTAAGTTCCATGAGTTGTAAAGGATATGTAATGTAAATGATGCCTACTTGAAATTCAACATATGCATGCTTGTTATGTATTGAGTTATTGAATTGGTTGGGCTGGGAATCAATTAGGTACCTTTTGTTTAAACTGGTAAACGATGAGAAAACAAAGGTCATGCTGCCCAAATTCTAGCTAAATCTCATGAGGAGAGGTTGGATGAGTGCTAGGATTTAGTTTTGGGGCATGGACAATTGGGGTTTGTAATGGGGATGCATCTTTCCCTAGGCTTGGAATTGAGAAATGTGGGAATTGGAATTCACTGGCAGCGCGCTTAAGCGCCCAGGAGCGCGCCCAAGCGCCCTGCTGCCCCTGTGAGTGCCAATGCATTCGGCCTCCTCGCGCTGTATAATAGCCCATCTTAATTAATTAGTAAATCAAGTGTAATTAATTAATTAAACATGTTTTAGTGAGTGAAATTAAGTATAAGGCTTAATTAAATGAATCTGAGTCACTTTGGAGTTAAAAAGTGTACTCAGTGAAAATTAAGGGGTATAAATGGGTACTGGCAAAAGTACCCAAAATATAAAAATAAAAATAGTAATACTCCTAGAATAATATTCCAGACTTTTGGGTAAAGTTTGGTAATTATTTGAGTTGAATAGATAGACGAACCAATACCCGCTTAAAGTCACTTAACCAATGTTAAGTGACCAAAAGCCAAAAGTGACCCCCATTTCCCACCCAACCGTCGAGAAAGAAACAGAGAGAAGAAGAAGAAGAAGGAGAAAAGAGGAGGAAGGAAGGGAGGAAGAGAGAGAGAGATCAAACCTTGATGGTTTTGGATGATTCAAAAGCCTAAATCGCTTAGAATCTCGCCCTCTTTCATAATCCTAGCTTTGTTTTGAGTGGGGAGCATTGTGGAGAGGGATATTGGCTCTCAAAAATTCGGCCCTTTGGTGAAAATTGGGGTTTTGAGAGTTTCTACCTCCATTGAAGCTTGAGGAGCCATCAATCCTTGGTTGTGTGACCATTGGTGGTAAGATTCTAACCCTTGAACCTCATGATTCCTTGAAATTTGCATGAGTTAGGGTTTGTGAATAGTAAATTGAGATTTTTATGAAATGTAGTTGAATTAGCTATGTTCTAGGAAGAATGGAGCTTAGAGCATGTTATGGAAAATGCTAGGAATGTCATTTAATCGGTGGAAATGAGCCTAGATAGTCATTTGATAATCGTTCATAATATTGGAAAATTCATGCTTGGATTGGTTAGTATTCTAGCATGTTGAACAATTAGTGAGTTGAATGATTGATTGGATCCTTGTGATGTCTAGGATTGAGACATTTGGACCAACCGTGAGTGATCAACCATTGGAGCAAGCTATGGAGCTTGAATAGCTCATTGGAATTGGTAAGCTCATACTTGGGTTGTGCTTTGAATTGAGTAATTGATGGTTGATTGTGAAATACTCTTGGATGCAATGTGTTGATTGCATTACACCATGTGTAGGTGTATGTTTGTAAAAGTTGATTGCTGAAACTGTTGGTGAAGAACAAAGGTCGATTGAAGCATTGAGGTAAGCCTTCGGACCTTGGGTGTAATTCCCTTGACTGTTCTACCAAGCCCTGAAAGGGTGGAGGTTGTGATTGTGTATATAAATGCAATAAAATAGTGTAATGCTTTGTTATACGTATGTGTATGCATTTGGTGTGGCATAGGATGGTGTTTCCCTATGTTGGTATGTTGCATGACGATGCGTAAATCATACTTGGTAGTTAGCTGGCCAGTAGGACTATTTGCATCTGAGTTTCCTTAGGACAGCTTGAGAGCTCGAGGGATTTCTCCTGGAGATGTATTGCACTTTGCATAGATATGTATTTACTGCATTATTATTGTTATTGCTATTACACTGATATGGAACTGTGGGGTGGAGAGATGCTCCAAGGACCCCTGGTTTACTGGATATATTCGTATATCTCACCCCGTGTTGTGGGGACCCCCTTTCAGGTAAGGATGCTGCAGGAGCCTCTGGTGGCAAGTGGCCATATCTGGATTATGCATGAAATATGGCACTTCTTTGAGTTTATGCATGCCTTTTGTAGATGACATGTATAGGATTTTATTTTGAAAGCCCATGATCATATGTATATCTTGATTCATTGGATGAACTTAGCCTATGCTCATGCCTGTGGTTGCACCTTTTGTTGATGGGAGCCAAGGGAATGATCATAGTGTTTTGTAAGCTAAGTTCTATGATTTGTAAAGGATATGTAATGTAAATGATGCCTACTTGAAATTCAATATATGCATGCTTGTTATGTATTGAGTTGTTGAATTGGTTGGGCTGAAAATCAATTAGGTACCCTCTTCGTTTAAACTGGTAAACGATGAGAAAACAAAGGTCATGCTGCCCAAATTCTAGCTAAATCTCATGAGGAGAGGTTGGATGAGTGCTAGGATTTAGTTTTGGGGCATGGACATTTGGGGTTTGTAATGGGGATGCATTCTCCCCTAGGCTTGGACTTGAGAAATGTGGGAATTGGAATCCCCTGGCAGCGCGCTTAAGCGCCCAGGAGCGCGCCCAAGCGCCCTGCTGCCCCTGTGAGTGCCAATGCATTCGGCCTCCTCGCGCTGTATAATAGCCCATCTTAATTAATTAGTAAATCAAGTGTAATTAATTAATTAAACATGTTTTAGTGAGTGAAATTAAGTATAAGGCTTAATTAAATGAATCTGAGTCACTTTGGAGTTAAAAAGTGTACTCAGTGAAAATTAAGGGGTATAAATGGGTACTGGCAAAAGTACCCAAAATATAAAAATAAAAATAGTAATACTCCTAGAATAATATTCCAGACTTTTGGGTAAAGTTTGGTAATTATTTGAGTTGAATAGATAGACGAACCAATACCCGCTTAAAGTCACTTAACCAATGTTAAGTGACCAAAAGCCAAAAGTGACCCCCATTTCCCACCCAACCGTCGAGAAAGAAACAGAGAGAAGAAGAAGAAGAAGGAGAAAAGAGGAGGAAGGAAGGGAGGAAGAGAGAGAGAGATCAAACCTTGATGGTTTTGGATGATTCAAAAGCCTAAATCGCTTAGAATCTCGCCCTCTTTCATAATCCTAGCTTTGTTTTGAGTGGGGAGCATTGTGGAGAGGGATATTGGCTCTCAAAAATTCGGCCCTTTGGTGAAAATTGGGGTTTTGAGAGTTTCTACCTCCATTGAAGCTTGAGGAGCCATCAATCCTTGGTTGTGTGACCATTGGTGGTAAGATTCTAACCCTTGAACCTCATGATTCCTTGAAATTTGCATGAGTTAGGGTTTGTGAATAGTAAATTGGGATTTTTATGAAATGTAGTTGAATTAGCTATGTTCTAGGAAGAATGGAGCTTAGAGCATGTTATGGAAAATGCTAGGAATGTCATTTAATCGGTGGAAATGAGCCTAGATAGTCATTTGATAATCGTTCATAATATTGGAAAATTCATGCTTGGATTGGTTAGTATTCTAGCATGTTGAACAATTAGTGAGTTGAATGATTGATTGGATCCTTGTGATGTCTAGGATTGAGACATTTGGACCAACCGTGAGTGATCAACCATTGGAGCAAGCTATGGAGCTTGAATAGCTCATTGGAATTGGTAAGCTCATACTTGGGTTGTGCTTTGAATTGAGTAATTGATGGTTGATTGTGAAATACTCTTGGATGCAATGTGTTGATTGCATTACACCATGTGTAGGTGTATGTTTGTAAAAGTTGATTGCTGAAACTGTTGGTGAAGAACAAAGGTCGATTGAAGCATTGAGGTAAGCCTTCGGACCTTGGGTGTAATTCCCTTGACTGTTCTACCAAGCCCTGAAAGGGTGGAGGTTGTGATTGTGTATATAAATGCAATAAAATAGTGTAATGCTTTGTTATACGTATGTGTATGCATTTGGTGTGGCATAGGATGGTGTTTCCCTATGTTGGTATGTTGCATGACGATGCGTAAATCATACTTGGTAGTTAGCTGGCCAGTAGGACTATTTGCATCTGAGTTTCCTTAGGACAGCTTGAGAGCTCGAGGGATTTCTCCTGGAGATGTATTGCACTTTGCATAGATATGTATTTACTGCATTATTATTGTTATTGCTATTACACTGATATGGAACTGTGGGGTGGAGAGATGCTCCAAGGACCCCTGGTTTACTGGATATATTCGTATATCTCACCCCGTGTTGTGGGGACCCCCTTTCAGGTAAGGATGCTGCAGGAGCCTCTGGTGGCAAGTGGCCATATCTGGATTATGCATGAAATATGGCACTTCTTTGAGTTTATGCATGCCTTTTGTAGATGACATGTATAGGATTTTATTTTGAAAGCCCATGATCATATGTATATCTTGATTCATTGGATGAACTTAGCCTATGCTCATGCCTGTGGTTGCACCTTTTGTTGATGGGAGCCAAGGGAATGATCATAGTGTTTTGTAAGCTAAGTTCTATGATTTGTAAAGGATATGTAATGTAAATGATGCCTACTTGAAATTCAATATATGCATGCTTGTTATGTATTGAGTTGTTGAATTGGTTGGGCTGAAAATCAATTAGGTACCCTCTTCGTTTAAACTGGTAAACGATGAGAAAACAAAGGTCATGCTGCCCAAATTCTAGCTAAATCTCATGAGGAGAGGTTGGATGAGTGCTAGGATTTAGTTTTGGGGCATGTACATTTGGGGTTTGTAATGGGGATGCATTCTCCCCTAGGCTTGGACTTGAGAAATGTGGGAATTGGAATCCCCTGGCAGCGCGCTTAAGCGCCCAGGAGCGCGCCCAAGCGCCCTGCTGCCCCTGCGAGTGCCAATGCATTCTGCCTCCTCGCGCTGGAGCGCCCAAGTGGGGGCTTAAGCGCCCAGGATTGCGCGCTGGAGCGCCCTGGCGTGCGCTTAAGCGCCCCTTGCTGCAGAAAGTTGGGTGGCTTACTGCCCCCTCGTGTTTTAGCGCCCAGGGTGGGGCTTAAGCGCCCAGGGTTGCGCGCTTGAGCGCCCTGGTCCGCGCTTAAGCGCCCTTCGCCACTGAAGGAGGAGATGCTTCTGTCTCTGCGCGCTAAAACGTCCCAGTGGGAGCTTGAGCGCCCAGGCTAGCGCGCCTGAGCGCCCTGTTGCGCGCTTAAGCGCCCATCCACACTGGAAATGCTGATGCTTACTGCCTCCGTGCGCTTAAGCGCCCAGATGGAGGCTTTAGCGCCCGATAGCGCGCGCTTGAGCGCCCGGTAGCGCGCTGAAGCGCGCTGGGCCTGTGACCAACACTCTCTTGTGTTGCTCCAAATTGTCCTAACTTGGGCTACAGTGCTCCGATTTGAGCACGGTTTGAAGCCACAGGTAGCTAATGAAGAAACCTACAATATAGTAGAAGTATTGAACTAAACAAGAAGTAAATTAATGGTTTAAAAATGGGAAATGAACATGATGTTAAGCTTAATTTATCTGTTTCCGCAAGGTAATTTGGTTATGATCACGAAATTGGGTATTATAAGTTCGGTACGTTTTAAAATGAAAAATTTATCCGGATTTTAATTGAACCCATGTGATTGTAACTGCGCTTAATATCATAATACGATGTTAACAAACCGGTTCTAGAACGGGGTGTTACACGCTGGAGCGCCCAAGTGGGGGCTTAAGCGCCCAGGATTGCGCGCTGGAGCGCCCTGGCTCGCGCTTAAGCGCCCTTCGCTGCAGAAAGATAGGATGCTTACTGTCCCCTCGTGTTTTAGCGCCCAGTGTGGGGCTGAAGCGCCCAGGGTTGCGCGCTTGAGCGCCCTTAGCCACTGAAGGAGGAGATGCTTCTGTCTCTGCGCGCTAAAACGTCCCAATGGGAGCTGAAGCGCCCAGGATAGCGCGCTTGAGCGCCCTGATGCGCGCTTAAGCGCCCATTCACACTGAAATACCTGATGCTTCCTGCCTCCGTGCGCTTAAGCGCCCAGGTGGAGGCTTTAGCGCCCGAGAGCGCGCGCTTGAGCGCCCGGTAGCGCGCTGAAGTGCGCGGGGCCTGTGACCAACATTCTCTTGTGTTGCTTCAAATTGTCCTAACTTGGGCTACAGTGCTCCGATTTGAGCGCGGTTTGAAACCACAGGTAGCTAATGAAGAGATCTACAATATAGCAGAAGTTGTGAAATAATAAGAAGTAAATTAATGGTTTAAAAATAGAATAAGAACATGATGTTAAGCTTAATTTATCTGATTCCGCAAGGTAATACGGTTATGATCACGAAATTGGGTATTATAAATTCGGCATGTTTTAAAATAAAAAATTTATCCGGATTTTAATTGAACCCATGTGATTGTAACTGCGCTTAATATCATAATGCGATGTTAACAAACCGGTTCTAGAACGGGGTGTTACACACTTCTTTTAATACTCTGCACAAAATCAAAATGGATATTTAAGTTTGGAGCATACTTCCATTGAAAAATATAATAAGCATAACAAGGGAATGCCTTCTCTAGAGGTGCAAGTTCTGGTCCTTGTGATGTGCTCCTTGTTTTTGAATCAGCTGACAAAGCTGCTGTTACAGTTTTCTCTGACATAGTACCCTTCTGAATGCTTTGATCCTCTGTTTCTTTAGGACACTGTATAGCATAAAAATATTAAGTTGTAATATATTTCCAAGAAGTATATATGGAAGCACTATTCATTTCCAGTTAAGTTTTTTAGCATGATGCACATGGTCAGGTGGTATTACATTATTTCTCTGAAGAGTTATAAAGTTAATATCAATTTCTCCAAGTGGGTGTTGTTGGTTCATCAAACATGGTTCTCCGTATTATTAGTCATGAGCCATTAGTTTCCACCAATAATAATAAGAAGATCTTACAGTAGACTTACATGTGAATGTGCTTCATGTAGAGGAATATCCGAGGGACATGGACGTGGCCTTTTAATTAGTTCTGAATCTGTTGGTGCACTTGCTATTAATGGTATCTCTAAACTAGGAACTTTTTCAACAAAATCTTGCTCTGCCTCTAATGCACCTGAAGAAGTCAACTCACGCTCGAACGGTGTTTGAATTTCAGGCCTAACAGGAA